ATTTTTCTGTTGCTTAGCGAGGTTAGCCTAGTGTTTGTGTGCTTATTTTAGTCCCAGTAAAGAGATAGGCTGATATGCAGTGGGTTGGCATTATTTGTAAAACAATTTTAAAGACTTCAAAGCCCTCTGTTTCCCTTCTGAAACACAAAAGCATATCTCTTAAGCAAGACCTTTTGGGAGAAAAGATGTATTACCACTTTAGTTTTGGAAGGCCTTAATGTGGTCATTCATTTTAGAAACAATGGTTACAGACTTCAGATTTCTTCTTTAGTCATCTTTCTTTCTATCTAATTTCTGGCCTTCTAATAACCTTAATTAAATGCTGAGTAGTTTAGAATATTATTAAATAGCTTTCATAGGATTTAAAAAATTTCTGATTACATCACGAGTACAGATTATTAAATATTCCATTCATTTTAAAATTATGATTAAGAGGATAATACCAAAAAAGATGTTTGTAACGATTTTAACTAAGCTGTGTTAATTGAGTTAGGGGATAAGAAATGAGATTTAAAGGGTGAGAAATGGCTGAAACCAAAGTCTTCATAGTTTTGAAATCAAGTGGATTAAGAGAACGGTCAGAATGGAGGAGGTAGGGAGTCAAAATCTGAATGAATGGTTTGAGTAGAAAATTTACTTACTTTTAGGCCACGTGTGCTGTCTTTCGCAGAAATGGTTTGCAATGGTGCCTGATGTCATGTGGGTAAACATGAAAAGTAAAAAATGCCTGCTAGCCACCAACAGGGTACATGTTGCTCATTGTCAGGCAAAGGTATGCAACAAGAACAGACACAGAAAGTCTGCTCAGGAGTTGCTACAGCCAGCAGCTCTGCATCCACTGATGTGCAGAAGCACAGCAGATCAACCTCCAGCATGCCTGGGTCACACGGTTGGGATCACTGTCCAGAGTGGTGCATGGAGTGGCAATGACTTTGTTGCCTTTTGTTTAATATCTCAAGTGTGGGCCACTGTTCTCCTGATCTGACATTTGTTTGTAACTACTATTTGTCAGCACAGCATGAATTTTTGCTAGGCTATTTTACTTATTGCTCTGAAATACTAGTTGGGAGTTAAACACAACTTTTCTGGTTGCCATGTTCTTCTTGGTGGCCCATTCCCAGATTTTCACCTTTCAGAGGGCTTTACATGGGATGCTCACACCTCACCCCTTGTAGCAAGAACATAGCTCCAACCTGCCTGGAAAACAGGCAGGATTTTTCTACTTGTGCTCCTTCAACGTTAACCAGAGAGTAAATCAGTAACTAGAGACATTCACATGCTGGAGGCTAAGAATCATTTGTACATATAAAAATTACAGCATCCTTTGCAGTTTCCTTCTGGGGATGTGAGAGGAAACCAATACTCATGAAACAGACTGGGGAGAAGAGTGACAGGAAAGTGAATGAAAAGTAGGATGCAGAACTTAAACTACCAGTAAGGGATGATGGAGGCAATGTGCCTTTGTTTAAAAGATTGACACAGGCAGCCTGTTAAGGACAGGCTAACTCACATGACCGACATCAGGTTGGCTATCACATGTGTCTTGCTTGCACATGGATTCCTTACACTCAGGATGTGCTGCCTCCTTCTTTGGCATGTTTGCTGGTTTCAGAAGTTTGCTGGTTTCAGTACTGATTCAGGGCATAAAGAGAAGTCTAAAACATCACATGCCCAATGAAGCTGGGGAAAGATTGACTGCAAAAAAATCAGCTCTTGAACCCCAAAGAGAAAAGCATAAAATGAATCTGAATTTAACCAAGAATAATAAACACTGTAATGATATACTAATGATGGAGACATTAGTATTGCAGGCTTAGTTATGTAGGTTGGGATTTAATATGTACCTCTTTCTTTCAATCTTAACAGCTTTAATTATTTTCACAAATAAACACACAAGCAAACAAACAAACAAACTCAATGCTTCCTTAAACATTACTAATAAAAAAATCGAGTCATCATGGATATTTGAAAACAGAAATCTAAAAGAACATATTGCATTCACACCAACTACATACCAAGCAGAATGTTAATAACATTAACCTTTACTCTATCAGATATTTTCAAGAAATACCACTATATTTTTTGCAATGGCTCATATCTGTCATTTAACTGACATGTGAACTTTTCTAAGTTTGCCAAATCACTGAGGCCTGAATACCATTCAGCAATGTTAATTTTGTTTTCCTATTTGAGCTTTTACACAATTATTCTCATGGCAATCATTCTAGCCTTGAGTATAAATAATACTTCAAGTGGTTTGTTGATATCCAAAAAATGATGTGTATCTACATTAAGAGACTCTGGAATCTAATGGGAAAACCATGCATATTATTAAGCTGAAATGCCTATTTCTTTCCTCCCAGATGGGAAGTAGTACAGGGTAGTGCCATGGCATATGCATTAATTTTATTCCTTCCGCAAATTTTAGCACATATTATTTTTGCAGATTTTGAATCTTTGCCTCCTACCCAGTATACAGGAGAGTTAAAATGAATTTGCTGCAGAGAAGATCTCAGTCTTAACAAGGGCCCTGGATAACTCTTAGGTGAGCTGAGGAAGAAGAGCATGGGAACAGTTCTGTTTTGGAGAAGAGTAAGAGAAAAAAATGAAGTTTGGTAAGAGGAAATCCTGAGGAGGATTAACAGGGGCAAAAAGAGAGACAGAGAGTGTATACTATTTTCCTGGCTTTCACATTTCCATCTTACAGACTGGGTGTGCTGGATCTGAAGGTTCTATCAATAAATAAAGGGCACATTTTAAATGAAGATTACAAACAAAGAATAATGAAAAACATAAATCCCAATATCTGTTCATCAGTGTTGCTACCCAAATAAAACTTAGTCTGTAAAAGATTTCTTCCTAAGTCTATGGATTTCTTGCACACTATTTTCCACAGTTTTATTTCATATTACTTGTTTTTCAAAGTTCCAGGGCTTTTCTTAATTTTTCTTGCTTTTCAGTCCAATGGGGCTTTTAATTTCCTCAGGATCTGAGAAAGTGGAGGGAGCACACTGTATTGCAAGCTGAATGTTTGTGTGGGAATGAGCTGTGTGGGAGCATTTTATGCAGGCCTTTATAAATACTCAAAAGAATAAGTTTAAAATTGTGATTGTTGATGTTTGCAGATGTGCAAGCATAGCATGGCATCATTTCTAAAGACTGATGGTCTAAAGAGAGGTAGGACAGTAGAAAATGAGGGTTGACTTATTTGATCAGCGTTTTTCTTTTTGCTGCTTTACTCTCTGGTTCCTGTAAGTTGATCTTTGTATGTGTTTAGACTTCACAACCTGTACCTATCACTTACAAGGAGTTTTAAGCTAACATCTGTTAATGGCTGCAGAATCTAGAGTGTGTGTTGAGTCTTGAGGGGAGCCCTGGGTAAACTGGCTCAGAGGGGGAGTGTGGGTTCAAAATGGTATCATCCTTCCATGCTGGTTCAGCCAAAGGCTGCCACAAAGCACCTACTGTATTTAGATGAAGTTATTCCTCCTATTCCATAGAGGAAAATTATATCTACAGGTGAGCATGGGGGTGGAGAAAAGGCATGAGTGGTGCTCCACAGCCCACCACCCAAAGCAGCTCCTGGGAGAAGCCCAGCCTGTCACACATGCACAATGCAAGCTGGCTGCCGGTGCCCCTGCAGAACTGCAGTGAGGATTGTGGTCCTTTCCACTGTATACAGGCTTTTTGAATTGATGAACACATCTGTCTCCTGAACAAAAGGAGGTATTATGGCAGATAGGCACACACTGCTTGATTTGAGCATCACAGTGCCCAGCCAGGTCAGTGCCAGATACATAATATATTCTAAAAACACAGATCTGGTGGCCAAGCATAATACTGCATGCCTAGTTGCAAATCTACATAAAATTTAATATTTTTAGTATCTGCCTAATCCATCTTAGTTTTAATTTGATGCACATATTGTTATGAAATATCTTGGTCTTCTCTCTCTCCACTGAGGAACTATGGTCAAAACATCTCTATTAGACATCTAAGTGCTACCACTAGATGGGAAGAAGTCAGCCTTTTTTTCTGTAGTCCTTTTTTTTGTCTTCTTTTTTCCCCTCTTCTGATCAGCATAGATGCAGTTTTCATCAGGATAACTTCTGTTGTGTTTGAACTCCTCTTTGTGTGGTTCCCAGCGTTTCAGACAGTGCAGCACTGCAGTACCGCTCCCCTCTCTGGTATGCTATTCCCTCAAGACTCCCATGGCAGAGAGAGATGGGTAATGTTTTCTGAGCTTCTTCCTCTATTTTTATTCTTCCTCTATTCCTCCTTTTCTATAGAGGATCAAAATGGATTATTTTCATCTTGACATGCAAATGCCTAGGCTGTGCCCTTGGCTGAGATCTCAGCATTGACTACATAAGTGAAAGATATGGGAGCAGTAGAGTTTTAATATCGCATATGGAAGCAGCAGTCTTATTTCTTAAGAAAAAAAAAGAAAAAAGTTACTGTAGTCCTTTGTGCCTTGAAAAATAATAAAAAAGCCTAATAAAAACATTTCCTCATGCACTACTGAATACTATATTCATATGCAGTCATTGGTCTGCACAGAGGCAAATGAACATTATGTGCAGCTCGGTATCTTATTGTTGTACTCAGATCTGCCTATTTGCCATGCCAAAAGTATCAATGGGAGTAAAAGACACATGAATAATTTTACCAAGTCAGATTACGCCTCCAAATATGAACATTTAATAAGGGATGGGATTATAAAAGAAATAGGGAGGATTTCTAAGACTGCTTGAGAAAAGCTTACAGAGATAAAAAGGTCAAATTCTTCACCAATTTTCACTCTGCACCACAGCAGTTAAGTAAATGAAACAAAATGACCCGCAAATCGGTGCAGGATACAACTCTCAGAATTCATTGATACACCATAAAAGTCATCATGCGGTTTCATGTTAACATGAAAGAAATGGTATCTGACCTCGAAAGCATGCACACTGGCTCACTGTTTCTAATTATTATAATTTTTTTTTTTTCTGAAACAGCAACAGCAAAACACTATCAAGAAACTGCCTCCTGGCTAACATTCTCAGCAAACCCTCATGGCTATTTACGGAAATGAGCAGCCCAACAAGTAAGTTGTTAGCTTAAATGAAAATTACAGCAGATAAAAATTGTCAGCCTGGGAACTGAACTAACAAGGAAAAGAATTGCATGAAGCTGATGGCACAGTTTTGAATTTTGGGAAGAATAAAAGAAAGCACAGCTACTGGAATTAACTCATGAGACTGAGGTAAACAGTCTCATGAAAGTCCGCATCCATCGTTACGTCGCACATAGCTGATGAGTGCACGACTCTCAGCAGTGATGGCTTAACCAAGCTTTCACACACTAAAACTCAAGTGTTTACGGTAGGCAGTGAATTAAGTGCGGACTGACAATGTAGCAGCATGGTGCTACTGTTAATTGTTCTTGCTTTTTACTTTCCTGCAGGAAAAGTGACTGGATGGGGTTAGGCAACCTGGGTGCATTCTTCAAAGCATTCCAGAGGAGTAAACAAGGTATTTGCAAGAAGCTGGGGAAGCACTCTGGCACAAGGTCCTAAGCTGGCTGAGTGGGGTGAGGAGTTGGAGGGGAAAGGTGATAAGCCACGCTGGGCTTGTTCTGCAGTGTCCCTGGCTGGTGTTCAGACTAAAGTCTTGGACACAGTCCACTGACAAACCTTCTGCCAGGAGATTTGTTACTACAAGAGTTTTGCTTAGGCAGGATTTTATTATAAAAATTGTCTCAATCCTCCTTTTATAAAAAAATCTATCCCACCTTTCTCTTCTAGCCCAGGAGGAGGAATATTTTGTGTATCTGGGTGAAACACACAAACAATATATCTGGGTGAAACACACAAACAAATTCATTTCCCATGGATAATATATTCAGAGTGATTTGCTTTTCAGAGTCAGAAGCTCAAAATCATGAATTTATTATGCAAAGTAATAATTGCAAATTATATTGGCAAACTCCATTCCAGAAAAAAAAGGGAGTATTAATATAACTAAAAGGATTTAAAAAATACTGGCTCTTAACTTGGGGCTACTACAGATATTTTAGGAGGTTATATATCTCTGTTCCACGTAAACCACCAGAGGCAGTAGCTTTCATTTTAAAGGTCTAGTGAGATACTGCAATTAATGGGCCCATCTAACAGCATATGTCGTGCTTGTATTGAGTAGTAAGACACGGAAAGAAAATGAAAGAAATGCTTAGTGCCATAAAAATTTGCATCTCTTTCTAGTTCATTTTTTAGTGCAAAGAAATGAAATATATCAGGATCAGAACATGAAAGGACTTGATTCCAGTTTTTGGGTCAAGCTAGGCTATGCCTTTAGTGGGATAACTGGACAGCATATTTTGACTTTGTGGGTCTTAAAGAATCTGAAATACCTCATTAACAATCCCTTGGAGATATATAACACTTCCCAAGGATGAGTGGAGCAGCCCAGCTTCTCCATGTGAAACTAGGGGCAGGTGGTTATCCTTCCTTCAGGACACCCACATGTTCCCTGCCTGGCTTGGTCCTTTGTGGTTATCAGCAGAAAGGGGCACTGACAGCTGCCAGAGTCAAGATCTTTAATGCAGTGCTTGTCAGCTATAAAGAGATTCATTTATTCTGCTAGACCTGTATGTTATATCAGCAGTGCTCACAGGATTAATTTGCAGTCATGGTCTTCACAACAACCTCACAGCTCTCTGCTGCTATAGGAGCATTTTCCTCTCTGGCACATATGTTCCATGAGAAGGCATTCTGTAGTAGATCATACTATCCAGGCTAGTTGCGATTTGTGGGTAGTTATGACAAAAATAATATGCTTGTAAACTTTGCAAATAATAATTGCAGTACTTACACTGTAATTCACAGATGCTGCACCATTAGAAAGTAACTTTAGTTAAGCTAAAGTTACTAAAGCTAAAACTTTAGTGATATTTTCAGCATTTCATAAAAGCATTGTGACCTGAGTGCAAGGATGGGATTCAAGTTCTCTACAAGTTTGATTCTGTCTCTGTCACACATGCTGGCTGTGCTCTTGAGAGAGTATAGTGCTTCCCTTCCCAAAAGGGAGGTGCTTGAGAATCACTTGCTGCTACCAGCCCAGGAGGAGCTTATTCAGATTGTGGTGTGAGAGTCTCCATGTGGCTAGGTTTCCAGGCCTTACATGAGGCATTTGAGGCGTTTAAAACTTCACCTGATTGTAGTTAAAGCCTTAAGGGATGTGCCTTTGTGAGGTGGGGAGAAGAGTGATAGTTGTTTAGCATTTCCAAGGGACTTTGAAGCTGTGGGAGTTTACAACCCACTGCAAGCAGAGAACAAACTCTCTAACCCTTATTACCTTTTGTAACAGTGTGCCTTATTGGTAGTGATTACTGTAAAAGGGTTCCACCTGCTTGGAAAAAGGTCATAAAAAAAAAAATGTGACTGAGATGTTTAGTGTGTAAACACAGAATTAGTTGAAATTCTCCTTAACAGAACAAAAACCTATTTTGCTTTTCAAGCAGAGCAAGAGAGATCATGATTCACAGATCGTTTACACAGACTCGGAGACCAACACGTCTTTGGACTGAAAAAGATGAGCAGTCTGCAGCCTCCAGCCTCACACAGTTGTGTTATCAATCACACTTACAAAGGTAAACCCGCTTCTTAGATGTCACAGCACAGTTCCTCCAAAAGGAATCATACTGTAGCAAGGTCTTGGTCTTCCTCATCAGGTGAGGACACAGACTAATAAACTCCTTCAAACATTCAGTAAATCAAACTAAAAGCACAATTAAAATTAGAAAAGGGAATTGGAGTTCAGCAAAACTCAACAAAGCTGAATAACTACTCAATTGAGTCCAATTCTTGTGGTATTTGTAGAGTTATTCTTGTGAGGAAGCTGTTCTGGGAATTACTTTGGGTCATCCAAATCATGCTTGATGTGGCAGTGTTTTAATATGGTTTGGGAAGTTCCTGTCACTTTTTCATGTTCTCAGTGAAATTACTATCGTATCTGATGACCTCAGCAGCATGAGAGGCTCTGTGTCTCTCCATCCATTGATCCAAAGAAACTTTGCCATAATGTTTAGCAATAAGTCTGGAAGTTCTACAAATAGTTACAACCGATCTCTACATGCCAAATAAATGAACATCATGCTGAAGTGCATTGCTATTAGGCAAAGCAAACAACAGAGATTCTAGTATGAGCTGAAGAAGCTCATGTTAAAAACCATGTTGGTGGCCTGCAAATTGCATAATAATAATAATGTGAAAATGCAGAGTCAGGTCTATATTTCCTTGCTAGGGTCTCAAGTCTGATTTTGAAGCTTCAGTTAGCCCTACTGCCTTGAAAACTAAAGAATATTTGGATTTTACTCTATTTTAACCTTCAAAATGTTTGGCAGTCTGGACTCCTTTTTCTGCTGGTGAAGGAGGCAGATCAGCCCATCGCTGTGTAAGAGAGGTAGGCTCTGGATTGCTGACTTCTGAAGACACTGAGGTGATCGTGGACTGATGTGCCTCCAAAGCTGATACCATGCAGGTGGCTCCAGCATGCAATCCACAATGCTGAGTGAGCAGTTCATGTTTCCTACCCTGCCCCTCAAAACATGTTCAGAACAGCAGACAGAAGCATCTATTCACTCAGTAGACAAACAACCTAATGAGTGTAGGTCTAACAGGCTGGTTTTTGTCTGTTTGTTTCTCATCAAACTAAGAAGGGAAACACGGTATTCTGTTAAAATACTTTGGGAAGAGGACAGAAAGTGATAGTGCCGGCCATCTTCTTGTAGTGCAATAGCCCTATTGTCAGAGGTGTCACAGAGGAAGAAGGACAGGTGGGTCCCATTACCCCTTCTGCCTTGAGCTGCTCAGACCCTTGTTTCCTGCCCTTTAGAGAAAAGTCTCTAGTCAACGGGAGGATTCAGTATTCACCAACGAGCCAGTGAGCAAAGATGAAAGGCAGCTCATGGCTTCAGGGGTCAGGGAATTCTTTCAGTTGCACTCTCTACTCCCAGGATAATTTCTGTTTATTTAAACACTCCCTTGTGTAAGCATACACAGTCCTGGCATGACACAGTGACATGGTTTCACTGTTTTCTGCTGACCCACATGAACTGTGCCTTGCAAAAAATGTATGGAACACACATGATTTTGTTGAATAGAAATTGAAGATATTGGGACTATTCAATTGACAGAAATTAGTAAGAAGGAATATAAAATAGCACTATTTGAGATAAGGAATTTTACTGAGAAGGTAAAACAGGTTCTTTGTTTATCCAGTCAAGAAAATAATGAAGCAGGAAGGAGGAAAAAAAGATAATCAAAGGAAGCTTTTATTTTCCTTTTCTCTCTCTCTCTTTTTCCCAAACAAAAGCTGCAATTAGCCTGTTGAACTAATTACTACTAGGTTTAACTTAGGCCAAGAGATTAGTAGGATCTGAAAAGGATTACACAAGTATATGCATAATGAAAATATCCATAAACTACAATAGGTAGAATATTATCTCAAGCCCTTTTATAGAATAGCTCACCTCTTAATATCAAGTGAATCCTGTGTACCCCTGCCTTGTCAAGGACCTTGTGAAGTACTCCTCATTTTATCCAGGGTCTGTACTTATCCTCCTTACTAAAAAAAGACAGTAAAAGAAGTCAGCTAAAATATAATACGTGCCTCTGCATTAGTGCTGTTTCAGGGGAGCAGCTATTTTATTGCTTAGATGGAACAGTGATTGTACAAAGTTGGGTGATACTTATACTTCTTATATTAGCATTTTTACCCTATAATTAAAATTCAGCCCTGGTAAATAAAGGGAGAAGCATAATCTGACCACCTGGATAGGAATGAAATGTTGGAGCCATTTCCGTAAGAGGAAATCCACAATAGTGGGGATGTAATTTTCCATTATAAGTGTACTTCTACTTGCAACAAGAGCGAGCTGACAACAAAGGTCTTTGCAGAATAGCCTCATACCAATAATGCAGTGGGAGAGATGGACATCTATCAAATTCTGTATGTGGCATTTCATGCAGGCTGAGGACAAACCTTTCCCTTGCACTCTGTTGTTAGATGCACAATGATGCTTGGAGAATCAGAGAGCATTTCAGGGTTGTGCTCTTCTTCCTCCTCTTCCTGGACTTAGTTATTTAGAAATTAACAAGTACAGGCAGATCTTAAAATAACTGTCAAGGTTTTATAATGAAAATAAAATAAAATTATACAATTATAAATATATAGTATTGGTTATATAAATATATAACCAATTATATTATTTAGTGTCTGGGAGGCCATAGAAGTTAAGAGAAGACTAACTCTCGCGTTATATTAAGTCAATAGTTATTTAGTGTCTGTAGTAAATGTCAAATCAGAATTTCATTTGAATTTATATAGTATTTTCCTCTCTGATCTCTTTTTTGCTGCTCTCTTGAGCCATCTAAATTTTCCCATTCCTGAGGAAGGCTGCCCTTCTAGCCTCTTAATGTGACCCTAGGGGTGAGAAGACCAACTGGCTTTCTGTTTGCAGCTGAATATGTTGTTTTACCGTTATGAAAACACAGAAAGGTCTTGCCTTGCTATCAGACTCATTATCTCACATTGTCAAATCCAGAGAAACAGTCCCACAACATCCACCAGACCGAGCTGAGCATTGAACACTGGGTTCCTGAGTGTTCTTGCGTCCTCAAGTACTACTGAAGTTTTTGCAGTCCAAAGGTGTTCACTGCCTTAAGTGTCCAAGACCAAAGAAAGCTCTTTCTACCAATATAAGTGTATCAGCTAAATTCAGTTGTGAATGATATTTAATAATTCCAGAGTCCCTTTACTCTTGTTTTATAATTCGTCACATTACTTTATTACTGTTTGCAAAAGTAACAAAAGATATTGCAACAAGGATTCATTTGGGCAAATTAAACCTGCAGAGGGATTTCAAACACAGTTTTTTGTTCTCTGAGATTAGGCATCAGCAGCCTGTGGAATTATTTCTGACATTTAATCCATCATACACTCAGAATAACTAAACAAGCTGGTGATGGTCTCTTCCTGCTCAAAGAACAACTTTCACAGAACCTACCCAACCTATTAGTGTCAGGAAATTGTGCTTGGAAAGGTCAGAGAAAAAAGAAAATTCTTCTACAAATGAAAGGCAGAAATCTTATGATGTGTCAATAACATGCATTGGGAGGTCTGTTCATATACAGACCTTTAGCTGGTGTAAATTGGAATGACATAACTGGTGTATGTACATTGATTTACTTCAGTCCTGGAATTTTCACACAGGAATGTCTAGATCCACAGCTGTCCAAATCTGGACCTGGTCTTCTAAAAGTAAACCATAAAATTGGTAGTAGGTAGAATGTAAGGTGGACTGCTTCTTTTCCTCTTATTTGTTAGAAAAAGTAAATTCTGAAGCATGTGTTCTCAGCGTAACCTATTGCACTCTGCAATTTTCAGTCTTTTCTTGAATTTCTGAGCACATATTTTAGTGGCCTAAGGTTTTACTTCAACCAGCTGCTTCCAGGCCAAACATGGTCAAACTAGATTAACTGTATTATGTAAATACTATAGCATCAGTGAAAAAAACTATGGGCTACCACATAATTAAAGGATAATAACTTTTCAAATTATATTAATTATTTTTTTCCTAATGCACCTCAAACAGGTTTCCCATTCTGGACAGAACTTCAAGTATTTTTTCAATTACAGGAGGTTTCCCTCCTGGCTTCTTCCCTCCCCTTCTTTAAAAATGAATATAATGTGCTTTGATGTAACATGGCATCACAGTGAAATCTACAATCATACCTAAACTTACAGAAAAGGTAAAATCACCAAAAGGGAGATTTTAGAAACATAATGCATAATCAGATAAATGACAACAAAGTTTTGAAAAGCATTACAGAGGGGTAATATAAGATATTGCTGGTGTGCTTCTTACTTCATCATTGTTTTCCTTCAGTAACCATTCTATCAGCTGGGGAGAGTTACTCACATGTTTGAAGTTGGGTCTAGTTTCTCTGAAATCAGATGCCTTATTCCCAAGACTCCACTACACAGTGCCAGCACAAACACACATCAGCAGCTGCACAGCACTTTAAAGAGTTAGCAAGGACCTATCAAGCATTTACTCAGTTTCGGATCTTTGTCCCTTATTTTCACTGAGCAAATCTGAAGTTGGGGGAACCAAAGTCAAAGAAAACAAATATGCGTTTTGGAAGTCTGAGTATCTCATCTAAGGAGTGAAACTCACCTACTGCTTAAGGTAAGAAGTACTGTTGTGAAGAATGATTCCTTTTCCACAAATAAAGTTTAAAAAGTACTTGGATCTTCACTGATGGAAACAGTGAATGCTGATGCACTGAGCTAGTGTCAGCCTTACTTCTGTCAGGGACAAGTGCAATTCTGGTTGCTTCTGCACTTGGAAAACTATGTGCAAGCTGATTTCACCTCTGGTGGAGTCCCCTTAGAATTAGTAGGGCTGGCCAGTGGGCGAGTTGGGTAGAATGAAGTGAAGGAATAAGCTAAATTTGAAATTCCCAGATTGCTTCCAAAATTAACTTCTTTCTGTTATAGTTGCTGTTACTGAGCCTAGATTTATGCTGTTTTCTAGTGTGTGAAATACAAGCTACTGTAGACAGATATTGACATTTTGTACAAACA